CTGCAGTGAGCTATGATTGTGCCACTGTACTTCAGACTGGGCAACAGAACAAGACAGTCTCAAACAAACAACAACAACAAAAAGTTGAGAACCTACATAAAATTAAACAAATGTAAAAATTTAAAGGCATACATACATATGCAATAAATTAAAAATCAAAACAAGTGTGGGCAGGGTGGCTCACACCTGTAGTACCAGCACTTCGGGAGGCTGAAGTGGACAGATCACCTGAAGTCAGGATTTCGAAACCAGCCTGACCAACACGGAGAAACCCTGTCTCTACTAAAAATACAAAATTAACCGGCCATGGTGGTGCATGCCTGTAATCTCAGCTACTTGGGAGGCTTAGGCAGGAGAATTGCTTGAACCTGGCAGGCGAAGGTTGCGGTGAGCTGAGATCGCGCCATTGCAGTCCAGCTTGGGCAACAAGAGCAAAACTCAATCTCAAAAAAAAAAAATAAATAAAAAGGCAAAAAGATAATAAATGTAGAATTCCAGTTAGTGATTACCGAGGATCAGGAATTTGTAGGTTGGGTTGGGCATGGTGTCTCACACCTGTAATCCCAGCACTTTGGGAGGCCAAGGCAGGTGGATCACTTCAGGTCACAAGTTTAAGACCAGTCTGGTCAATGTGGTGAAACCCTGTCTCTACTAAAAATACAAAAATTAGCCAAGTGTGCTGGCATGTGCCTGTAGTCGCAGCCACTTGGGCGGAAGGGGCAGGAGAATCATTTGAACCTGGGAAGTGGAGGTTGCAGTGAGCTGAGATCATGCCATTGCATTTCAGCCTGGACATCTCAGTAAGACTCCATCTGAAAAAAAAAAAAAAGAAAAAGGAATGTGTAGGTTGGGCGGGGTCAGATTGGGGAGGAGCATATAGGTAGATAAAATTACTATCAATGTTCTGATTCTTGGGTTGGGCTGGGAGAAAAAAAGCTATCTCTAAGCTTCTCTCTAGAAAGTTAGGAGTTTATATTCTCAATAACAATGTATACAAATTTTGTGTCCTATAAGTATGTCAGCATTGGACATTGTAAATCTTTAAAATCTTTGCCTATCCAGTAAGGTAAAAAATATTTTGTTTGCATTTTTCCTCATTCACTTGAAATTGAACATCATTTCATATATTTGAAGTTAATCTATTCTTCTGTTTGCCTTTCATATCCTATTTTCATTTTTAAGTTGGGCTAATTATCTTTGTCTTAATGATTTCTTTGGTTATTAACTTTTTACATGTTATGTATAAAAATTGTTTCCTAGATTGTTTCATCTTTTAATTTTTTTTTAGAGATGGGGTCGCCAGGCATGGTGGCTTACGCCTGTAATCTCAGCACTTTGGGTGCAAGACCAGCCTGACCAACATGGAGAAACCCCATCTCCACTAAAAATACAAAATTAGCTGGGCATGGTGGCACATGCCTGTAATCCCAGCTACTTGGAAATCTGAGGCAGGAGAATCGCTTGAACCCAGGAGGCGGAGGTTGCACTGAGCCGAGATCGCACCATTGCACTCCAAACTGGGCAACAAGAGCAAAACTCTATCTAAAAAAAAAAAAAAAAAAAAAAAAAGATATGGGGTCTTACTATGTTCCCCAGACTGATCTCAAACTGCTGGTCTCAAGTAATCCTCCCGACTCAGCTTTCCAAAATTCTGGGATTACAGGTGCAAGCCAACATGCCCAGAATATCTTTTAATTTTTTTTACGGCAGTATTTATCTTTATGGTTTAGCCTTGTATAACGTTGAGGAAGCCTCACTCCACCCTAAGGCAGTATATCTTTTATATTTTATTTTTAAATTTTATCTATTTATTTTTTTTGAAACCTAGTCTTGCTTCATTGCCAAGGATAGAGTGCAGTTGTGCGATCTCAGCTCATTATAACCTCCACCTCTCAGAATTCCTTGATTCTCCTGCCTCAGCCTCCTGAGTAGCTGGGATAGGCTGGTTTCAAATTCCTGACATCAAGTGATTTGCTTATCTTGGCCTCTCAAAGTGATGGGATTATAGGTGTGAGCCACCATTCTTGATGCTTGGCCTGTATTTTCTTTTCATACTTTTGTGAGTTGCTTTTACTTTTTTACTTTCGTTATGGAGAATACCAGATAGATGTAAGGGTAAAGAGACTAGCACCGTTCCCCCCTCCCCGCCCCCTTTTTTTTTAAAAGCAGAGTCTTGCTATGTCAGAGACTAGCACCACCACCCCTTTTTTTTTTAAGAGTAGAGTCTTGCTATGTCATCCAGGCTGGAGTGGGAGTGCAGTGATCTCGGCTCACTACAACCTCTGCCTCCTGGGTTCAAGTGATTATCCTGCCTCAGCCTCCCGAGTACCTGGGACAACAGGTGTGTGCTACCTCACCCAGCCAATTTTTTTATTTTTAGTAGAGACAGGGTTTTGCCATGTTGTCCAGACTGGTCTCAAACTCCTGACCTCAAGTGATCTTCCTGTCCTGGCCTCCCAAAGTGTTGGATTACAGGCGTGAGACACTGCGTTTGGCCGCATTCATTATTATTCAACAATCATCAACTCATGGCTACTCCTTTGTGTATAGCCTTCATTCCACCTACCGGGTTCTTTTTCTTTTTCTTCTTCTTTTTTATTTTTTTTATTCTTATATATTTTTAAAAATCCACTTTTTATCTCTCCTCCTTAATACTGGGTTATTTTAAAGCAAATCTTACACAGCATTATTATGCCATCCAGATATATTCAGTATGTACCTCTAATAGACAGTAACTTTTTTTTTTTTTTTTGACAGAGGGTCTCACTTTGTTGCCCATACTGGAGTGCAGTGGCGCAGTTATAGCTCATTGCAACCTTGAAGTCCTGGGCTCAAGCAGTCCTCCTCAGCCTTCCAAGTAGTTGGGATTATAGGCGTGTGCTACCATACCCAGCTACTTTTAAAATTTTTAGTAGAGATGAGGTCTTGTTATGGTGCCTAGCCTGATCTTGAGCTCTGGACTCAAGCCATCCTTCCACTTCATGCTCCCAAAGTGCGGAAATTACAGGTGTGAGCTATCGTGCTTGGCCTGTAGGACTATTTTTAAAACATAAAAGTAGCTTTTAAAAAAATTTAAAATTTCAGTATCTCTCAATATTTATGTATTTATTTATTTGAAACAGTCTTGGTCTGTCATCCAGGCTGGAGTGCAGTGGCATGATCTCAGCTCACTGCAACATCTGCCTCCTGGTTTCAGGTGATTCTTGTGCCTCAGCCTCCTGAGTAGCTGAGATTATAGGTGTGTGCTGTCACGCCTGGCTAATTTTTGTATTTTTAGTTGAGACAGAGTTTTGACATGTTGACCAGGCTGGTCTTGAACTCCTGGCCTCAAGTGATCCACCCGATTCAGCCTCCCAAAGTGCTGGGATTGCCGGCATGAGCCGCCATGCCCTGGCCTCAAATTTTATTTTTGAGTATAGTATTATGTTAACCTTCTTATTTATTTATTTTTGAGACTGCATTTCACTCTTGTTGCCCAGGCTAGAGTGCAATAGTGCAATCTCGACTCACTGCAACCTCTGCCTCTCGGTTCAATCGATTCTCCTGCCTCAGCCTTACCAGTAGCTGGGATTACAGGGATGTGCCATCATGCCTGGCTAATTTTGTATTTTTGGTAGAGACAGGGTTTCTCCATGTTGGTCAGGCTAGTCTCGAACTCCTGACCTCAGGTGATCCGCCTGCCTTGGCCTCCTAAAGTGCTGGGATTACAGGTATGAGCCACACTCCTGGCCCCTAAATTGTTGTTTCCTAATCCAGATTATCTACTTCATCAGCAGTGTATGAGTACTATTTCTTTACATTCTCTCAGAAGCTATTTTAAATCCAGAAGGAAGCACAGAAAGAATAAAGATTGCCATCAAACTTTACAAATTAGGACTGAGGCTCAGGAAGAGATAATGTTATATCCAGGGTCATACAGGGAGATCATAACAGAGTCAAATCTGGAACTTAGACTTTTTGAACTCACTCCTAGGGTTCTTTTCTCTGAGTGTAGAATTCACAAATTTACAAGACATTTATTTTTTGTTTTTTCAGACAGAGTCTCTGTTGTCCAGACTGGAGAGTGCAGTGGCATGATCACGGCTCACTGCAGCCTCAGCTTCTTGGGCTCAGGTGATCCTCCCACCTCAGCATCTCAAGTAGCTGGGACTATAGGTGCATGCCATCACCCCTGGCTAATTTTTGCATTTTTTTTATAGGGACAGGATTTTTCCACATTGCCCAGACTGGTCTTGAACTCCTGGGTTCAAGTGATCTGCCCTCCTCAGCCTCCCAAAGTGTTGGCACTACAGACGTTAGCCACTGCGCCTGGGCTTTATCAAACATTTAATGAGCATTTACCATGTGTGAAACTTGCGTGTTTGATGCTTAACGTCTATGACATTATAAAATCCTTACTGCTCTAACATAAATTGTTTATCTGTTTATCTCCATTTTATAGCTAAGCAAATACAGTCAGAAAGGTTAAGTAACTTTCCTAAGGTCACGCAACCAGAATATGGCAGGGTAGAATTGGAACTCAGGTGTATCTTATTTCTGAGCCCCATCTTCTTTATACCATATCTCAAATATAGCCATTTCAGTTGTTTTGTCTTTCCCCTTGTTCACTAACGTTTCTAAAACTTCCATAATGCTCTGGAGTTAGTCACACTCCTCATCCTGTTTTGACTTCCAGGCTAACCTCTGCTTTGTGGACATTGACAACCACTTCATTGAGCTGCCAGAGGACTTGCCACAGTTTCCCAATAAATTGGAGTTTGTCCAGGAAGTCTCTGAGATTCTTATGGCATTTGGAATTCCCCCTGAAGGGAATCTTCATTGCAGTGAGAGTGCCTCCAAGCTGAAGAGGCTTCGGGCCTCTGAGCTTTTCTCAGACAAGAGGAATGGGAACATTGCTGGCTCCCCTTTGCATTCCTACGAGCTTCTTAAGGAGAATGAAACTATTGCCCGGCTCCAAGCCTTGGTCAAGAGGACTGGGGTGAGCCTGGAAAAGGTAAGATGTGTATATGAGTCTGTGTGATCTGTGCTAGGGTGCTGTCCTGGTGAAGTAGGGTATGGGATGAGAAAGCACCCAGTTCTAGACAACTCATGTTTTTGAGAAGTGAAAGAATGCTCTGTATGGAGGACTCTGAATTCCATCTGGCAGATGTTATCCTAGTAAATGCTACTTTAATCTAAATCTGGGTAGCTTCTCTCTTGAACATCAAGGAGAGTCTGCAGTCATTCTTTGTGAACACTACATCAAAGTGATTGGAGAGAGCATGGTAGTAATTTTAGTGTTCAGACCTCTTTTATTTTTTGAGAGAGTTCTTACTCTGGCACTCAGGCTGGTATATGGTGGCACAGTCACGGCTCACTGCAACCTCGATCTCCTGGGCTCAGGTGATCCTCCTGCCTCAGCCTCCCAAGTAGCTGGGACCACAGGTACATGCCACCACACCCAATTCATTTTTTTTTTTAATTTCTTATAGAGGCAGGGTCTCACTATGTTGCCCAGCTAGTCTCAAACTCTTGGGCTCAAGCAATCCGCCACCCCTGGCCTCCCAAAGTGGTGGGATTACAAGGTTGAGCCACCTTGTGAAGCCCAGACCTCTTTTAGATCCTTTGAGCTTCATAGCAACCTAAGGCATATAAAACATGTATTAACTGTTTTATAGCCAAACAGACCAAGGCTCAGAGAGCCTAAGTGTTTTGCCTAAGATTAAATGCCGAGTATGTTGCTGAGCTGAGTATAGAATCTGGTCCTCTTGAGTTCTCACTGTTAAATTACTTTTGTAAGTTACATGTAAACCAACGGGTCAATGTAATAATCTTGTTGGGCCGTTTGTTAGTGAAATATTTCATTTTTCTGCTTTAGTAGAGCAGATTTGTTTTGCTTAGTAGAGCAGATATTTTTTAAAAATCATGGGCAGTTAAAGAGGAGCAGAGAAATATTTGGTGAGATTAAAAAGGCTTTTTGGAGAAAGAAGGAAAGATGAGGGAAAAATAAAAAAAAAAAAAACCCAGGCAGAGCACGCTGGGTTGCCGCCACCGGCCACAGCCACCATCGTGCCAGCCCCTCGGGTCTCTGTGAGGCCGGGTGACGCTCCAGAATGGGACACAAGCCAAATTGGGAGCAGATTGGATCCAGCTTCATTCAACATTATTACCAGTTATTTGATAATGATAGAACCCAACCAGGCACAATTTATATTGATGCATCATGCCTTAAGTGGGAAGGACAACAGTTCCAGGGGAAAACTGCCATTGTGGAGAATTTGTCTAGCCTTCCATTCCAGAAAATCCAGCACAGCATCACGGCGCAGGACCATCAGCCCATGCCAGATAGCTGCATTATCACACGTGGTTATGGGCCAGCTTAAGGCGGATGAAGACCCCATCATGGGGTTCCACCAGATGTTCCTATTAAAGAACATCAACGATGCTTGGGTTTGCACCAATGACATATTCAGGCTCGCCCTGCACAACTTCAGTGACCTTCTCTCAGCCAAGCACTTCTCCTATTTCCTCCTCCCTGCTCTTTCCTCCTCCTTCCTCTTCCCAATACTATTCCCACTCCTCCAGATGTTTCAAATATGCACAAATGAGCAGGGCTGCGGCGGGAGTGGGCGCAGTGTACTGCAGCCACCAAGGTGTTGTGCATGATGTTTGGACGCTAGACTAGTTGCATCTGACGGGAGAAGTTTGTGTTGTACCAGTGCATGCCTTGGAAAGACTTAAGTAATGCGAAAAGTTGTCCTTTTTTTTAATCTACCAACAAGTTGCTCTAGTAACCCAAAGACGTGAAGGAGAAAGCAGCTGCCTCACCGCCCAGACGTTGATTTGTTCAGATGTTTCAATACCTCATGATACAATAAAACCACAAGAATTTTCTTAACAGTTTAAAAAATAAATTAAAAATATAAATAAAAATTGATCCAAGATGGCAAATTGCTATCAGGATTGTAGCTCCCAGTGAAAGTGTAGAGAACAAGAGGATGCCACAGTTTGAGACGAATTTTTGTTGCTCATGGACCAGATTTCCAGCAGAGGAGCCCCACGGGTCACCAGCGCGACTCTTGTGGCCGGCAGAGCGGTTTTGCCAGTGCTTTGACGTGGTGGTTCTTGATGTAGAATAAACAGGACTGGTTCCCCTTTTGACCGACGTTTGGAGCTCCAGGAAGGCAGAGTTGCTTACTCAGCTGATTGAAGGACGGACTCAAGAAGGAAGGCAGACCAGAGATTCTGGGGCAGAAATGCACCATCAATCTTAATGCCACTGTTTTAGCCAGTGCAGTGGGTCGCTCAGATTCCGGCGCTGGGAATCAATAAATTGGACGTCCACTCAGAAACCAAATTAGAGAGGCGGTAATTACAAAGATGACAGATGGATAAATTTATAACAAAGGGAAGAAACCAGCCTAAAAAGGCTGAGAATACCCAAAATCAGAACGCCTCTCCCTCTACAGGGGATTACAGTTCCTTATCAGCAACAGAACAAAGCCTGATGGAGAAAGACTGTGTTTCATTAACAGAAGTAGGCTTCAGAAGGTGGATGATAAGAAACTTCTGGGAGTTAAAAGAACTTCTTCTAACCCAATGCAAAGAAACTAAGAACTTCAAAAAAAGCTTTGATGAAATGCTAACAAGAATAGACAATATGGAGAGGAATATAAGTGAATTAATGGAGTTGAAAAACACAACACGAGAACTCTGCGAAGTATGCACAAGTTTTAACAGCTGATTGATCAAACAGAAGAAAGGATATCAGAGGTCGAAGACCAAATTAATGAAATAAAACGAGAAGACAAGAATAGAGAAAAAAGGATAAAAAGGAATGAGCAAAGTCTCCAAGAAATATGGGACTATGTGAAAAGACCCAGTTTACGTTTGATAGGTGTACCTGAATACGACGAAGAGAATGAATCCAAGCTGGAAAATACTCTTTAGGATATTATTCAGGAAAATTTTCCCAACCTAGCAAGGCAGGACAATATTCAACTCCAGGTAATACAGAGAACACCACAAAGATATTCCTCAAGAAGAGCAACCCCAAGGCACATAATTGTTAGATTCACCAGGGTTGAAATGAAGGAGAAAATACTAAGGGCAGCCAGAGAGGAAGGTCAGGTTACCCATAAAGGGAAGCCTATCAGACTTACAGCAAATCTCTCAGCAGAAACCCTACAAGCCAGAAGAGAGTGGGGGCCAATATTCAACATCCTTAAAGAAAAGAACTGTCAACCCAGAATTTCATATCCAGCCAAACTAAGCTTCACAAGGGAAGGAAAAATAAAATCTTTTATGAACAAGCAAGTACTCAGAGATTTCATTACCACCAGGCCTGCTTTACAAGAGCTTCTGAAAGAAGCATTACACATAGAAAGGAACAATCAGTATTAGCCTTTCCAAAAATATACCTAAAAGTAAAGAGCATCAACATAATGAAGAATTTACATGAACTAATGGGCAAAACAGCCAGCTAACATCAAATGGCAGTAATCCTAAATTTAAATCAACTAAATCCCCCAATCAAAAGATACAGCCAAAACCCATCAGTATGCTGCATCCAGACCCATCGCACATGCAAGGATACACAAAGACTAAAAACAAAGGGATGCAGAAAGATTTACCAACCAAATGGAGATCCAAAATAAATAAATAAATAAAAAGCAGGAGTTGCATTTCTCGCCTCTGATAAAATAGATTTTAAAGCAACAAAGATATAATGGTAAAACGATCAATGCAACAAGAAGAGCTAACGATCCTAAATATATATGCACCCAATACAGGAACACCCAGATACATAAGACCTAAAAAGAGACTTAGACTCCCACACAATAATAGTGGGAGACTTCAACATCAATATTAGATAGATTGACGAGACAGAAAATTAATAAGGATATCCAGGACTTGAACTCAGATCCGGAACAAGTAAACTTAATAAAAATTTATAGAACTCTCCACTTTAAATACACAAAATATACACTCTTATCAGTACCACATCACACCTACTGACAGGTTTAAATGAAATATTGGTTGGCCATTATTAAGCACAATTATTGGCATAAAAGAGGTTTTCAATACCCATTTTTAGAATAAAGCAACACTCCCGTTCTCTCTCCCTCTTCCTCTTTCTTCCTCTCCTTCATTCCTTTTTTCTTCCTTTCTCTTTCTTTTTAAAAAGAAAATCAATATCAATATCAATATTAGATAGATTGACACGACAGAAAATTAATTTTTAAAAAGAAAGAGAGAAAGAAAAAATGGATAGTTTATCCCCTGTCTCCTTCCCACAACCCACCTCTGAAAAAAAAGAAAAAAGAAAATGTTACTTTGAGGTCCTAGGAGAATACTATTGTGATTGGAAATATGGGTCTAGATCTCAGAAGAGATTATTGACATACATTTTGGGAATACTCAAAAAAAAAAAAAAAAAATCAAGAGAGCCAGAATTTTTTCTAGGTCATCAGAATTGTTGCCTTGTTAAATTGACCACCCACATTTCTTCCTTTTTTCCTGACCTTTGAGGTAATTAGCACCTCTTCTTTCATGGCAGAATCTCTCTCAGCCCATAAAGATCTAATCTCTACTTTCATTGGGTTGTTGGATATCTTTAAGTCAAACTCCATTTATTTCTCTTCCATGTCTGAGTCCCTTTCCTTTTTTTTTAATTTTTTTCAGTTTTTCCTCTTTCATTCTCTATTTGCTGCTAAGTAAATGACTACTGGAAAAAAAAAATCAGCTAAAAAAAATCAGGAATTGGATTCCTTGGGATAAAAGGAAAAAAGTGGTGTGTTCTCAACTGCTTTTTCTTTTTTTGTAGTTGGAAGTGCGTGAAGACCCTAGCTGCAATAAGGATCTCAAAGTTCAGTGTGATGAAGAAGAACTCAGGATTTACCAGCTAAACATTCAGATCCGGGAAGTTTTTGCAAATCGTTTCACTCAGATGTTTGCAGATTATGAGGTGTTTGTCATCCAGCCAAGCCAGGATAAGGAATCCTGGTTTACCAACAGGGAGCAGATGCAAAACTTTGATAAAGTGAGTGTAATCCTGCTTGGGAGGTGGTGAGGAATGAGAACTTGCCAGTTATGTCTTGAAGAAGTAATGGAAAATGAGTTTTTCTTCTTATATGCTGGAAACAAGTTTATGGTCCATTTGATGTTGATAAAATAGGCCTTGTTTCTTAAGAACAGATGTGCTGATTATTATTATCAGATGATTTCCCTTCAGCCAAAGGGATCTCTTAAAGCAAAGATATATGTGTAGATTGAACATGAGGATTCTGGGAAGATTGGTTGACTCAGTAGGTTATCCAAGTGTGTTTGTCCCAGTGTCAAAGTTTCAAGATGTCTGAACTTATATGAATGTTTTTTAAAAAAGTAGGTATTTTGCAGCCTGGTTTTCTGAAAGACCTAGGCAGCTCCAGAGAATAATTAACGTACTGGATCCTTTGGCACTTTGACATTACCCTTTTCCCTGTCAATTACTGCTTCTTTTTGGTCCCACCAGGCATCTTTTCTGTCAGATCAGCCTGAGCCCTACCTGCCCTTCCTCTCAAGATTCTTGGAGACCCAGATGTTTGCATCTTTCATTGACAACAAAATCATGTGTCATGATGATGATGATAAAGACCCTGTGCTCCGAGTATTTGATTCCCGAGTTGATAAGATCAGGCTGTTGAATGTTCGGACGCCTACTCTCCGTACATCCATGTACCAGAAGTGTACCACTGTGGATGAAGCAGGTAAGGCCTCCTTGGAACTGTGCATTCTAGCCTGCTGGATTATGTCACTAACATGTCCCTTTTCCTGAATATTCCAGCCTCTTTTTCTGTTTCTGCATACGTATGTGGTTCCCATTGCCTGCAATGTTCTTTCTTGCTTTTTTTAGCCTGGCAGTCTTCTCATCCTTTAACACTGTCAGTTAAGAATGGATCTCATTGTATGTGATAGAGACCCTAATCAGCAATGGGTTAAACAAATAGGGGGCTTATTTTTCTTATATTAGCAAGAGGTACAGAATTAGTCCTTGCTTGTGTTGGCTCAGCTGCTCAACAATGTAATCAAGAACTGAGATTCTGTCTTTTTATTCGGCGAATCCTTAGCATGTTGACTTTTATGGTCATACTGTTGCCTCGCTTTTTTTAAATTAAGGATTTCAATGAAAGCCTCATGGTTACAGAAGCTCTTTCTTTTCTGCCCTTGTGTGTGTGTGTGTGTGTGTGTGTGTCAGGGCCATGGTTACAGAAGCTCTTTCTTTTCTGCCCTTTGTGTGTGTGTGTGTGTGTGTGTGTCAGGGTCATGGTTACAGAAGCTCTTTCTTTTCTGCCCGTGTGTGTGTGTGTCAGGGTCTCTCTCCAGGCTAAAATGCAGTGGTGTGAACATAGGTCACTACAACTTTGAACTCTTGGGCTCAAGTGATTGTCTTGCCTCAGCCTCCCAAGCAGCTAGGACTATAGGCATGTGCTCCCATGCCTGGCTAATTGAAAAAAAAAATTTTGTAGAGACAAGGTTTTGCTGTGTTGTTCAGTCTGGTCTCAAACTTTTGCGCTCAAGTGATCCTTCTGCCTTGGCCTCCCAAAGTATTGGCATTACATACATGCATCACTACACCCAGTCCCAGAAGCTTTTCATATTCACATTCAAGGCAAGTAGAGGGGAAGGTTGATGCCAGCTACATTTGTCATCCCACCTTTTTTTTTTTTTTTTTTGAGATAGAGTCTTACTCTGTTGCCTAGGTTGGAGTGCAGTGGTGCGGTTATGGCTCACCACAGCCTTGACTTCCCAGGCTCAAGTAACTCTCCCACCTCAGCCTCCCAAGTAGCTGGGACTGTACACACCTGGCTAATTTTTTGTGTTTTGTAGAGACAGAGTATCACCATATTGCCCAGGCTGGCCTCAAACTCTTGGGCTCAACCAGTTAGTCCTTCCACCTCTGCATTCCAAAGTGCTGTGATTACAGGTGTGAGCCACCGTGCCCGGCCTATTTTCCCACTTTTATCAGAAAGCAAAAGTTTTCCCAGAAATTTCTAACAACTTTCATTATCTCATAGGCCAGAATCATATTATATGACCACCCTCAAGTGCATGGGAGGCTGTGAAAGTGAACATTGAACTGGGTATAATGTTACCCTGAACAGTATCAAGGTTCTATAAGGAAGAAAGAAGGGGTGAATAATTATGAGTAAGCAGCTAATAGTATTTGTCACAAAAACCTAGCAGATATGTTTCCTTCTCTGTGAAGCCTTCTCTGATGCCCCCAGACTGAATCAGTTGATTCTTCCTCTGTGTTCCTGTAGTGCTTTGTGCTTGCTTCTACTCACTTATCTCTACTTTTACTAGCTATCATTATTAGAGAACAACTTAAGGGTAGAGACTGTATTTACTCATTTTCTTTTCCCCATTCTTCTAGCATTGCACCAGCATGTAGGGATGTTTTTATCTACACAAATGATTGAACACATCCTTTTGTTTAGAGGGCTCATCCATATCAGCTTAGCTAGAGAATAGTTTCAGCTTGAAGTGTTAGATTAAGTAGTGTGTTTACTTCCTGTGGGATGTTCAGTGTCCTTTTTAAGGCATTTTAATATATTTTGATTATTTATTAACTGCATTTTATAACTACCTACTAAATGCCGAACATATGGCAAGTCTTCAAGAAATATTTGTCAAATGAATGAATATGCCAGTTGCTAGGCTTTGAAGATATAACTGGTAACAGTTTAGACAAAGTCTTACATTCCCTTACACTTTCTAATCTCTCTTTACCTTTCTGCTCCTATTGCAGGACCCTCATTAAGATGACAGTCCTTTTGGTAAAGGCTTGAGGACATGTTGTCCATGCAGTTAGACTACTTTAACTCAAACCCTACCTCAGGCTTTGGATCTGGGCAGCTTGATGGAGATTTTTACAGGACTCTGGTTTAGAGAACCATCTCCCAAACCATTGTTTAACTCAAGACTTCTTATTCTTTTTCATCTTGTGCTACACTTGAAAATGATAATATTTGTATACGGCACACTAGGAAGAGTCTGCTTATAGCCAGAGGCTATAAGGCCAGAGGCTCTAGTCACTTGAAATTCTGTACATCTGCCGCAAGGGTTGAGGTGTCTCAGCCCATCCTTAATTTATTTGTTGAACAATAAACGCTGCAGCCTACAGATATCAAGTACTATGATCTCACTTGTAGCCATTACATAGTCTAATGGACCTCTTAGAATATGGTGTTTGGAGGCTGGTCATAGTGGCTCAGGCCTGTAATCCTAACACTTTGGGAAGCTGAGGTGGGCGGATCACTTGAGGTCAGGAATTTGAGACCAGCTTGGCCAACAAGGTGAAACCCCATCTCTACTACAAATACAATAAATAAATAAATAAATAAATAAATAAAAGCTGGGTGTGGTGGTGCACACCTGTGGTCCCAGCTACTTGGGAGGCTGAGGCAGGACAACTCCTTGAACCTGAAAGGCAGAGCAGTGAGCTAAGGTTGTACCACTGCACTTCAGCCTGGGTGACGGCAAGATTCTGTCTGGAAAAAAAAAAAAAAAACAAGAAAGAAGAGGTAGAATATGAGGTTTGGAATGTAGGATGAAGGGTTAACTAAGCCTCATTCATGTGGCTCATTTCAGAAAAATGGGTATCACAGAGACTCTTAACACTACTTTATGGTCTGCACCCAGGAATCCTGGGAATATCTTTGCTATTGGTTTATCCCTTTGGTATATACCAGAGGCATGTACTTCAAGTATACCAGATCAGGGTTCTTGCAACTGGCCCCAGAACCCTAGCCTAGAGGAGTAGTTCAACCATCTTATCCCATCTCATATTGGACATCTCAGCTTCTTTAGCCAGTCTGATTGTAAAATCATGCTAACATAACTACAAAGGGATTTGGGAGATCCTTTAAAAATGTTACAATAAAAAACAGTAAAATGTTACAATTAGAAGAGATGTTGATGGCAATTGACTCTGCCCACCCACCTCACCCACCAATTTTACAGATAAAAATGTTCCTTTGGTTCACAACTGTATCCACAGTACCTGGTACATTTTGGACATTTATTAAGTTCTTTTGAATGAGAGTAAAGATTGGGGGAAGTGAGGGAGGCTCAAAGATATGACTTGACAACCTAAGATACCACAACCTAAGGCCCAAAGACAGATGTTTTTACATGACGCTGGAAAATACCAGGAAAGAGCCAGGTGTGGTGGATCACACCTGTAATCCCAACAATTTGGAAGGCTGAGAGGCAGGTGGATTGCTTGAGCTCAGGAGTTTGAGACTGGCCTGGGCAACATGGCGAAACCCTGTTTCTACAAAAAATACAAAAACTAGCTGGGTGTGGTAGCATGAACCTGTAGTCCCACCTACTTGGGAGGCTGAGGTGGTAGTTTTGCCTGAGCCCAGGAGGTCAAGGCCACAGAGAGCTATGATTGTGCCACTGTATTCCTCTAGCTTGGACAACAGAGTGAGACCCTGTTTCAAAAAACAAAGAGAGTGAGAGAAAAAAAGGAAAGTTTTCAGACTCATGAGAGAGAAGAGAGAAAGAAAAGAAAAAAAGAAAAGAAAGCTGGGCGTTGTAGCTCACGCCTGTAATCTCAGTACTCTGGAGGCCAAGGTAGATGGATCACCTGAGGTCAGAAGTTCAAGAGCAGCCTGGCCAACATGATGAAACCCCATTTCTACTAAAAATACAAGAAGTTAGCTGGGCCTGGTGGCGGGCACTCGTAATCCCACCTGGGACAGGAGAATCACTTGAACCTGCCTGGGAGGCAGAGGT